ACCTTAATATCAAATTTCGGGATTTCAGCTCTGTAATTTCCCCTGTTGCCAAATTTAGTACCATTTAGTACAACTATAGTACATATTTCCAAAACCACCCCTTAACACCAGGTACCTAGGGAGGTACCTCAATATCGAATTTCGGTATTCCAGCTCTTTAGATTCACTTAACAATAAATATAGCATCTTTTAGTACTTTTCGTAGAAATTCTATATCTCAATTCCACATGACCTCAATATCAAATTTGAGGAATCCTAAATCCTAAACACCCTAAGTACCATTTAGTACTTTTCGTACAATGCCAAATGAAGTATTATTTAGTACTTTTCGTACTATCCCAAAAAACCAACACAGACCTCAATGTCAAATTTCGAAAATCCTGCCATGTCCCTTCACCGATTGCCAAATTTAGCACTATTAAGTCTTTTTCGTACAAATTTAGGATGAATTTCCAAGCCACCGCCAAATCTGAAACACAAATACCATCAGTAAACTATGGATCAAAATACAAAATTTTATCTCTCCCCCTTTCCATTCACTCAATACCAAATATTGTACCATTTAGTACTTTCCATACAATTATACTACAGATTTCCGCAATCACTTCCATATATCCAGGCTACAAATGAACAAATTTCAGATTTCAAGTTTTTCACCCAATGCCAAAAATAGTAGTACTTTTCATGCACTTGTAGCAAATATTTCTAAGACCACCTTTTTATTACTAACCAACAGGAACCTTGATTAAAAAATTTAAAAATTCCAGCTTCATTTTTCTATCTTAAACCAAACTGTTCCATATTTTTAGTACCATTTAGAACAGTTCGCATTATTAGTACATATTACCAGAACCACCTCCATGTATCGAAGTTATTATCCAACCTTGATTCTTGTACTAAATTTCAAGTTTTTACCACTATCCATTCACATAATACCAAATGGTACGATTTTAAAAATTTCGTACCATTTTAGAACTTTTCGTAACCGTAAAGTTTGAATTTCCAAAAACTCATTAGTACATCTCTCTTGCATTCCATCAGTGATTCTCATTCCGTTTGTTTATTGTAAGGTATTTATATTTATAGTCCATTTAAGTACTTTTTATGCAATTTATAGTGCATTTAAGTACTTTTTGTATCCTTTTAGTACGAATTTCCAAAAACTAAAACTCGAGTTCCTTCAAGACCAGTACGGCCAACTTATATTCTTCCTTAAGAATTTTATCTTGAAATTTCACTGCCTTCCATTTCCTAACGCAACCTTTACACCATTCTATCACCAATAAATCCCCTTTAGCCATTTGACGAAGTTGCAGGCCATGGTTGCAACCAAACACCCGTACCCACCCACCAACTTGCAACAAATTTATAATACCCCTACCATAGAACTTAGCATAAATTTCATTATTAAGGATTTTTCTGTTATCCAAGCATAAACAAAGAGTGTAAATCTTAACACCAACTAACGGTAAAAATGATCCAGCCCTGCTGATTGCAGTTCTATGCTCTTGTCTAGCAATTTGCCAGAGGGCAATGCAATTAACCACTGAGTGTGCACTGAGAGGCAGTGAATAACTCATTGAATGAATCACCAGAGTTGACTGGGTCTTGCTGGCTGGTAGCCGGCTGGCCTGTCTGCCTGGCTAGAAACCAAAGTGCAACAAATGCAATTAACTTTTTTCTCGAACGCGAGGGGAGTTGGGAGTGTGACAAGAAAGGGTTAGCTACCAATAAGCATTACTAATGTTCAACACCCCCGGAGGCGTTATGAAACCCCCAACCCCCCTTCAAACAAGTTGCCACTATTTGCCCTGGCTTTTGGGCGGTTTTGGTTTGTTTATCCTGGGGATTTTTTCATCGTCTCGTATTCTTGTGGGGGATGAAACAATGTTATGACTTTGACTTTTTTTTTTGTTTCGCGGGGAAAGGTGAAATGCTTATTTAATTTATGTTACAACAACAGCTACAACAATATTGAATTGTTTTTGTAAATGTTAAACACACCCTCAGGAGATGCGTGTTGTAAAATAACATGAAATGTGACCGCCTTATTATTTGCTAAACAGACAAAGGGGGCAGGGGGTCGCAATGAGATGGGATTTATATTCTGTTTACATTCATAATTTTCCGGTGGGTTTGTCAAAGCCAGCTGTTTCAGTTTCTTGACATTTGTTTTGCAGGCAGGAGATAACAAAACTTTGAATTTAATTATTTTTTTAGTTTATAAACAAAGGTGGGGAGTAATTGAAATTCTTTTTATATGAGGGTGAAATTACAAATTTGAGTGGAATCGAGTTTGAGGATGTGTGGTCATTATAGAAAAAAGTTTGATAATAAAATTTTGATTCCAATCCCTCAGACTTGTGACATTAACATTGGGATTTTTTTTTGTAATATTTTAAATCAAAAAAAAAAAAAAAAAATCGAAAATCGTTGGTTTTTAAGATTTTTTTTTTTTTTCAAAACCCACCATAACAGAATCATAGGTTTTTATAATTTTACAATGTCCCACTTTTCAATAACCTCGAAATTTCAAGAGCAATTTAACAATATTTTTTGGACAATAACACTGTGCCACACAAAATATAATTATAGGCAAAAAAACAGCAGATTATGAAAGTAGAGCTAACAAGTTAGGAAATATCAGTTGGTTTTGTATTGGCTGATGTATACCCTCAGCCAATGTTCGATTATTTAAATATATTTCGACTTCTGTTATGGTTGTTCAAATTATTGCCCCTCTATGGAGTACGTTCGACTGCTTCCTTCACTTTATATGAAGTATGCGATCATTTTTAGAAAATGTTAAAATTGCTCGCCAGTTTCCACATATAACCGACCGAAGTATTCCATGAAACCTTATCTAATACAGATAAAAATATTGGTTGGCAAAGTTACAAGAAAATCGAATTTAATGCGAAATCATAAATTCCATATTCATCTCAGGTTTCTGGTTGAGACAAATTTTTAGATGTAGAAAGCTGTAGAGAATCGCTGACTTGTTAGATAAAAGTATTGAAAATTATGACCTTTGTTGTGGGGTAAGGCGGTTCGCAGAAATATATCACCTTCACAACAGATCTTGTGTTAGCAAAAAATGTTTGTAAGCTTTCTTAGAGCTTTTGGTTTTTAAAAATCTTGAACCCTACGTGGTGGAAGGTAGCAAAGGAAATTTTCCGATCCCTCCCATCTTTATAAAAGATCTTGTGTTGATGGAAATATTGAGATATACCAAGTCTGAATGCAATCGAATGTTAATTTCGCGTTTTATGAGGTTTATGGACATTCAAAATGTTGACCCTTTGCGGAGGAGGTTCCAGAAGGAGTGAACCAATATTTCTTCACCATTTTCACATAAAACCTTGGGCTAATAAAAATAGTGGACTGTGTGTATTTCGAAGGCAATCGGACTCATACATCACATTTTTTATGCGATGTAATTATTCAAAATTTTGACCCTTTGTGGGGGAGGTACTTGATGGAGTGGACCGAGAGTAGACCTAGAACTTATACAAATATTAGCATTTGCCAAGTTTGAGCAAAATTGAATTATCCTTTCTTTTTTTTTTTTTTTTTTTTTTTTTTTTGAAAATTTAGACCTTTTTGGGGAGGTACCAGAAGAAGTGAACCGATATTGCCCATCTCCGAATTCGATCTAAGTTTTACAATAATATCATGATGTACCAAGTTTGGATCACATTAGTGTGTTAACGTGCGCACCAGCAAGCCAAACAGACCGACGGACGGACGGACATACATCGCCATCGATCGACTCCAAATGTCGTTATTTCGATGAGACACGTTTTGGCCGTATCAAATGATACATACCTTCTCTAGCCATATGGCTAAGGGTAAAACAGAGAAAGACAGGTGCATTGGCATTTTGAAAGTTTACATCAAAATGTTAGCTAAATATAAGGGGCAAGTTCCCCACCTCTTCAACACTTTTAAACATTTTCGGATAAAGATTCCTCTAAATCCATGCCTGTTTGGTATATAGTGTCTTCGGTAATATTGCAGATACAAGAAATATTTTGGTCAAAAATTGTAAACCTCGAACGAATCAGCAAAGGGGTCTTTTTGGTTCCTTTTTTAAGGTCCTTTTTTATGTGAGTTTGTGTAAAAATCTCCAACAAACCATCAAAAATAAAAAACAAAAATATTCTTAATTAAATGCTACTATAAGTCACCAAAGAAAAGAAATCCGTATTTCTATTGAATGCCAAAATATTTTTGCATCAATGTTCCGAAAAAAAAAAACGAAAATATTTCGTAATTTTTTTATGATCAATTTTCCTTCGACTTTTTTCGATTTAACGCCTAAATAGCCAGTCTGGGTTGTTGAAAGCTGTGAAGTATTTTTGTGATGAAGAATATTGCTTTTTTTGACGGAGATCTCTACCCTTCTATTTAGGTTACCTTTCGATATAAACTTTCACAACGCCGATACACGTGTCTTCTTTTATAAGCTCTACATTCACAATATGCTGGATTTCCCCCGTAATTACTAAAAAAAAGGAAACCCAGAGTGTAATTAAAAACGTTTTAAAATTCCTTCTCACCAACACTGGTAGATTTCCAGAAACAGTTTTGAATCAAGCTATATAAACATAATTTATTAATTCGAGTATTTTACAAAAATCATTTATTTTTATATTTATACATTTTACAACATTCTCCAAATGTCAAATATCATATTTTAAAATCTATTCATTTTATTTTATTTTTTTTGGAATATTTAAAAGTTTGATGGAAATCCTGAGTTTCTGACGATTTTTTCTCAAAACGAACTTCAATTTTTCAAATACTTTCTAAAAACTCCTGTGAAAATCTTGTGAAAGCATAACATATTATTTTATAAATATCTACAAGCTCTTGAATAATCTGAATTCTTTCAGAATTTTCTTGTTATATTTTATATTATCCCCTTTTGTATCAAATAACACTAGCGATTCAAACAACATCCTCACTTATCTATATTTCTATACTTTTATCCATAGATTTGCCACAGACTTCATTGATATACGAGAAAAGGAGACTAGACGTGGCACACGTGGTGTTGGCAATCCAGAGAAACGTAATGGCGGTGGTGGTGGCGGTAGAGGACAACGCATGCATCAAAGGCGGCAGCAACAGCTTTTGCAACAACAGCTAAAACAGCAACAACAAATGCTAGCAGATGATGCTTCAGTTTCTATTACCACTTCAGTTAAAAACGATACCAAGGCAACAATAACCAAGCAACAACAACAACAACAGCAGCAGCAGCAACACTTGGCAAATAATAAAGCTCAAACAACAAACGGCAGTAATAGAACAGCAGAAGAAGCGACACAATCATTGTCTACATCCCAGTCCTCAGGAGCATCAGTATCATCATCTGGGTCCTCGTCCTCCTCCTCATCGAGTGATTTGAAATCTTTAGAAAATACCAATAAAAATGTCAACAACAGCAGCAACAACTCAAACCCGATACAACATTCAAATGGCACGGATGTTAACACTAGCACGACACAAGTGTCATCCTCCCTCGCCTCTTCGTCCTCATCGAGGAATATTAGCCCGGGAACATCTTCAATGACCTCTTCAAGTAACAATGCAGCAGCCGCTGCCGATTCAAGTAACTACCAGAGTCAAAATCAAAGACAGACAAACAGACAACGACAACAAATGCGTTCGACAACAACATCAACAACGGCACCACCATCATCATCGCGACAGCAACAACAAGATGTATCAGCATCTTCCGAGGAAGAAACACCAAACGGTGGTGGTGGTGGTGGTCTTCGCATTAAACCGGAAGATTTATTAGAATTACAAGAGCGTATTACAAAGGAAATACTCAATTCAAAATTACAGGAAAAGGAAATGCTCGAATTGCAGGTAAATTGAATTTGTTTCGCATATATTTTGTAAGGGAATTGTAGAGAGATTTTATTAAAATAAGAAATTTATATATATTTGAAAAATTGTAATGAAAAATTTTGACAATTTATTCGAAATATGTTGAAACCCTATAGCATTAGGGCCACAGAGGATATTTATATTGAATATGGCCAAAATGCGTATCTTTCCATACTTCCTTTTGTATGTGCGCACTATATATCATCGCAACGCAACTTCTACGAAGTATAGGTCGTGTTCGGATATGGGCAATATCGGTCCACTCCTTATGGTACATTTCCAAAAAAACACTTCATAGTGAATCCATCGATCATAGTTCAAATATCGTAATTTTTATATAGCACATAGGTCAGGTGCGAAAATAGACAATATCGAGCCATACCTTCTAGGATCTCCCCCACAATATTTAAAAATTGTAAATATTAATAATAATAATAATAATAATAATAATAATAATAATAATAATAATAATAATAATAATAATAATAATAATAATAATAATAATAATAATAATAATAATAATAATAATAATAATAATAATAATAATAATAATAATAATAATAATAATAATAATAATAATAATAATAATAATAATAATAATAATAATAATAATAATAATAATAATAATAATAATAATAATAATAATAATAATAATAATAATAATAATAATAATAATAATAATAATAATAATAATAATAATAATAATAATAATAATAATAATAATAATAATAATAATAATAATAATAATAATAATAATAATAACTCTCGTAATATGTGAAGTCGAAACCCGATGGCGATATTTTGCAGTAAAAGCGAAAAGCGAATATATCGGTACACTCTTTCGGGTACCTTCCCCACAAATTTAAAAAAAATTGCCATAACAAACACGAAAATCTCATATTGAGCGAAAAGATTGCCCGATATAGTTCAATATAATATTTAGATAGGGCAAAGATCAAGATCAAAAATGGGCAATGTTGAAATATATTCCTGTGACCTTCCCATTAAAGGTAATGGCCCAATTTCCTAAATTTTTTTTAACATTGAAATATTTTGATTAATATTTGGTTTTTAAGATTTTTAAACAATGTCTTATTAAGTAAAATCGAGATGCTTTTTCAAAAAAATCCCTCCTCCCAAAAAAAATACTTTAATTTGTATTCCCTTAGCCATATGGTTAGAAAGGGTATAAATCATTTGATTGGGCCTAAACGTGCCTCATCGAAATACCGGTTTTAGATCCTAGATCTCTTTGGACCAAATCCGTGTCAGGACATTTAGAGTCGATGTCCGTACGTCCGTCTGTCTAGCTGGCTGATGAGCACGATATCTCTCGTAGTGAGTAACCGGTTTGGTGCAAACTTGGTACATCGTTATATAATTGTCAAACTTAGATCGACTTCGAATGTGGACAGTATTGGTGCACTCCTCCTGGTACATCCCCCACAAAAGGTCGAGATTTAAAAAAATACTTTAAAGCACAGAGGGAGAAAGCATAATCCGCTTTTACTCTAAATCTGCGAATCCTAATGTATGCATCAGTGCTGGATCACGTTCGAAAATGGTCAGTCCACTCCATCAAGAACACCACCCCCACAAAGGGCCCATATTTTGAAAAATTTTAACTGTTATAAAATATGATGTAAGGATCCGAGTGTCTTCAAATTACATACATCACAATACAAGGTCTGGTGTGAAGATGAAATATATCGGTCCACGATTTCTGGTATCACCCCCACAAAAGGGTCAATTCAATATCCATGAAGCTCATAAAACGCGGAAATTAACATCCAATTCCATTCAGAATTGCCACATATCAGTATTTCTATCAACGCAAGATCTGTTATAAAGAAGATAGATATCGGACCATTTGTTTTGGTATCCCCCAACAAATGGTCACAATTTTGAATAACCCAAACGATTATAAAATCTGAAAGAAGCATCCGGTTCTCTTCATATTACACACATCCCATTATTTCTACAAGCACAAGATCTGCTGTGAAGATGTGGTATATCGGTTTACTACTTCTGGTATCTCCCGCACAAAGGGGCAAAATTTTGAATATACATGAAGCTCATAAAAGACGGAATGAACATCCGATGTCATTCAGACTTGGCGCATCTCAATATTTCTATCAACACAAGATCTGTTACAAATATAGTAGGGATCGGACCATTTCTTCTGGTACCTCCCCCACATAGGGTTCAAGATTTGAAAAACAAAACGCTTAAATAAAAGGAAATAAGCATCCAACTCTCTTCAAATTTCATACATACAAACATTTTTGGTAAAACAAAATCTGTTGTGGAGATGATATACAGGGTGAAATAAAAAAGCAACAAAGTCGAACGCCATAGGTTTTTCATTTTTTTTTAAATATTATTGAATAAAAGCAAGAAATATCGGAAATAGCATCAAATTTTAGAATAAGTTTAGATTTGTTCGAATTGGTCACCTTTGGCACGAATTATGGCCTTCAAACGGCCAATGAAACCGTCACACGCTGCCCGAATGTTGCTCTGCGATATTTTGGCCCATTCCCGGCGAAGCGCTTGCTTGAGGTGATCGACACTTTTGTATTTTTCAGTGCCAACCTTGCTTTCCACAATAACACAATAGTCCAACGGATTGGTATCCGGAGATTTTGGTGGCCATTGTGCGCTGGAAATGAAGCGAGGAATCTTTCATTTGTGTGCTGAGTGTGATGGTGCTGAGTCCTGTTGGAATGTCCAAGGTCTGCGGTCAAAATGTTTGCGTACCCAGGGCTTTAATACAACCTCCAGAATATTTTCACGGTAATAATCGGCATTTATTCTGATGTCACGGTCGATTAATACGAGCGGAGAGCGACCATCGCTTGTTATTGCGGCCAGAACCATAATGGTGGCCAACCGAAGGTGCACATTTTCACTTGACCTCTTTGGCAAGTAAACACGATCATTTTGTTTGTTTACAAACTGCTGGACAACGAATGTTTTCTCATCGGAGAAAACCAAATTCGGCAGTTCACCACTTTCGGTCAAGCGACGCAACTCTTTAGCTCTTTGAAGTATATTTTCTTTCCGTTGCTGTGTAAGTTCTTGCACTTTTTGGAATATCAATGGCTTTACCCCAAGCTCGTTTTTCAATATTTGCCAAATGGAATATTGCGATTTGTTCAGCTCACGAACCATTTTTCGGCCACTGCAACGCGTGCTTCGAACCATTTCTGCTGATGGTGCTGTTTTCTTCCGTCCACTTCCTTGACTTCAGGCTACGCTACCAGTATTACGGTTACGAGCGATGGTACGAGACACAAAAGATTTATTCAAATTTAAATGCTGAAGCGCTTTAACGATAGCCACTTGTGGTTTTCCAGCCAAATATAAAGAAATCACACTATCACCCTTGAATTCCATCGCGAATAGTTTCTTTCTGGAAAATTCTCAACAAAATGCTTTTATACGCTAGTAAACAATATAATGAGCAGTCACTGGAAAAATTTTAACAGCTGTCGGACGAGTGGGTTGGAAATGACAGCAGTCTGAAGTTTGTTGCAGTTTTTTTTTAATTTCACCCTATATTGTGGAGGTGGAGAGTATAAAAACACTTTTCTTAAGAAGAACGCATCGCCGACCTCATCAATTATGTTGACCTTTTTTTTTTTTTTTTTTTTTTGACAACTCTAATTTTATTGTCAATATTTTCGAAATCTTATTCTGAAGCACATTGCGACGTAGACTTAAAACCCACATTACTTTCATCTCAATTTTCCCAAAAAAGAAAATATTAAATTAGAAATAATTTTCCAACTCATTTTAAGTTCATTTAAACTATTAAAACTAAACCTCAGCCCAAATTTAATAATTTCCTTCGAAATTTAGTTTATTTCATTAATTTTGAATGGAAACTTTTGAAAACAAGCTGGACAGTTAACAAAATTTAGATTAAAATTTTCCTTTTGATGTTGAAAAACGTATAACATTCGATTTGATATAAAATTCATTTGTTGGGTGAATGGTTTTTGCCAACACACAAATTAACAAAGTTTTTAACACTTATGAAAGAGATTAACAAAGTTTATAACATATTTTTTTTTTGTGTAACACAACCTTGAGCATTGCACACGGCTGTTAGCCTTCAAAGGTTAACGTCAAACTTTTTTCACGTTAACGTGAACAAATGAAAAAAAAAAACGAAAAAACACTTTAGATGGCCACAAGCAGAACTATAGAAAAGTTATGAAATGATGATGAGATTTTCATTCTTTGTCTCAGGTCGTGGGACAGCAAAAACAGCAGGAAAGCAGAACTCTACACCGCTAATGGACAATTGAATTTTTTTCACGGAGGGAGAAAGAGGATGGGAAACGATTTTTTTACAATTACAATGTGTAAGAGCCTTGACAAAACATTCACAGGTACGAACGTGTCGAAAACGTGAACTAGAAACAACGAAATCGGTCCAGGTGACAGACAGACACTCGGTTACACAAAGGGGGAGGAATACACAGCGAACATTTATTGTTTTTATATTTCGTCTTTTTTGAAAACAAAATTTTGGACAAAACTTTATTCAAAGCTCAAAATTAAAAATCGTTTAAATTTGTTTCCCCACCCGCTGAAAATATGACAAAACTTTGTTAACTTTTTGTGATTGGGCCGCCGTGGTGGGAAAAAAGTTACCCTGGCAACATTGACGAGTCATAAAAAAGTTGAAATTGTTCAACCAACCATTAAAAAGAGGTTGAAAAAAAAATTAAAAAAAAAACCTAGCTGTAGGGTCGCCGTGTGATATGAACATGAAAACAATACCTCCGAACAACAATTTATTGTGTTGTGAAACACAGGGATAGATTTTCAATTAATTTGCGGAAAAAAATTGCTGACTCTTAAACCAAATTGATGGATTGCAGAATAAATTTCGAACAAGTAATTGTTAAAAAATACATTCTGTTTAAAAAAAATATTTTCAGCACAACGAGATACAATATATCAGATATCAAAATTACAACATAATTTTGAAATTTATCAAATATTTCTTGGCAAAGCATCTGGTAACATTAATGGTACGGTTGATATATTGAAAACATTTTTTTAATTCTAAAATTCTATAAATCTAGGCATTTTACATTATTTTGGTAGACCTATAAAAATGAGAATTTAGAAAATTTAGAATTTAGTCAATAGGGTTTTGTTAAATACTAATTACATTCACAAAATTTCAAAACATTTAATAAACAAACTAAAAAGAGTCAGTCGGTTTTGCCGACCGATGTATACAAGAAACTCGAACATTTATATCCAATTCCATATTCCATAAATTCCATATTCATCTCAGGTTTCTGGTTGAAAGAAATATTTGGATATAGCATGTTGAAAGAATTACTGACATGTTTCACAAGTTATGACAGATAAAAGTATTGAAAATAGCGACCCTTTGTGGGTGAAGGGGTTCGCAGATATACAGGGTGAAATGAAAAAACTGCAACCAATTTAAGACTGCTGTCATTTTTAAGCCACTTGTCCGACAGCTGTAAAAATTAATCCTGTGACAGCTCATTATATTGTTTACAAGCGGACAAAAGCATTTTGGTGAGAATTTTCCAGAAAAAAAAATATTCGTGATGGAATTCAAGCGTGATAGTGTGATTTCTTTACATATGGCTGAAAAACCACAATTGGCTATCGTTAGAGCACTCCAGCATTTTAATGTGAAAAAATATTTTTGGCTCGTACCATCGCTCGTAACCGTGGTAGCGTAGCCCGACGTCAAGGAAGTGGAGGGAAGAAAGCAGCAACATCAGCAGAAATGGTTCGAAAGGTAAAGAAGCGACTTGATCGAAATCCGCGTCGTGGTGGACGAAAAATGGTTCGAGAATATCGAAAAATGAGCTCAAGGTAAAGCCATTGAAATTACAAAAAGTGCAAGAACTTACACCGCAACAGAAAGAAAATAGACTCAAAAGAGCTAAAGAGTTGCTTCGCTTGGCCGAAAGTGGTGAACTGTCGAATTTGGGTTTCTTCGATGAGAAAACATTCGTTGTCCAGTAGTTTGCAAACAAACAAAGTGATCATGTTTACTTGCCAAAGAGGTCAGGTGAAAATGTGCATCTTCGGTTGGCCACCAGAACTCAAGCGCCGGCCATGGTGATGGTGTGGGCCGCCATAACAGCCGATGGTTGCTCTCCGCTGGTATTAATCGACCGTGGCATCAGAATAAATGCCAAGTATTATCGTGAAAATATTCTGGAGGGCACGAAAACATTATGGCCGCAGACCTTGGACATTCCAACTCCGACTCAGCACCATCGCACTCAGCACGCGCAACCCTGGAATGGTTGCAAAATGAGGTTCCTCGCTTCATTTCCAGCGCACAATGGCCACCAAAATCTCCGGATACCAATCCGTTGGACTATTGTGTCTGGAGTATTTTGAAAAACAAGATTGGCACTAAGAAATACCAAAGTGCCGATCACCTCAAGAAAGCGCTTTGCCGGGAATGGACCAAAATACCACAGAGCAACATTCGGGCAGCGTGTGACAGTTTCATTGGTCGTTTGAAGTCCATAATTCGTGCCAAAGGTGACCAATTCGAAGAAATCTAAACTTATTCTAAAATTTGATGCAACTTTCGACATTTTTTGCTTTTTGCTTCAATAAAACAAGTAAAAAATGTCGGTCGGTTGTGCCGAAAGATTTATACCCTCAGCGAATGTTCGATTATTAAAAAATATTTTCACTTCTGCTATGATTATTCAAATGTTTAACCCCTTATGCAGTAGGTTCCGAAAAAATGGGAATACGATATAAATAATGCGAAGTGCTAGGTTTGGACTGTGTTGTGTTGATGGAAATATTGGGATTTACCAAGTCTTTAATGGAATCGGATGTCAATTTTCACTTTTTATGAGCTTCATGGATATTCAAACTTTTGAGACTTGGTGGTGGAGGTACCAGAAGGAGCGAACCGATATATCCCATCTTCACAGCGGATCTTTTGTTAGTGGAAATAATGGGATATGTGAAATATAAAGAGAACCTGATGTTTACTTAGGATTTTATAAACTTTTTGGTTATTCAAAACTTTGACCCTTTGTGGTGGAGGTACCAGAAGGAATGGTCCGATCTCTACCGTTTTTTTTCAGATCCTGTGTTGATAGAAATATTCAGATGTGTCAAGTCTAAATAGAATCCGATGTTAATTTCGTGTTTTATGAGCTTAATGGATATTCAAAATTTCGACCTTTTGTGGGGGAGGTACTTGATGGAGTGGACCGATATATTGTCCACTCCTGACCTAGCTCTGACGCAAATATTGGGATTTGCAAAGTTGGAGCGAAATCGGATTATCGTTTCTCTTTCTGTGCAAAAAAAATATATTTTTGAAAAGTTCGACCATTTGTGGGGGAGGTACTAGAAGGAGTGGAGCGATATATTCCATCTAAACACCAGACCATGGGTTAATATAAATATTGGGATGTGTGACATTTGAAGACAATCGGACTCTTACGTCACATTTTAGAAGAGTTGTAATTATTTAAAATTTTGAGCCTTTGTGGGGGAGGTACAAGAAGGAGTGGTCCGATATTGTCCATCTCCGAACTTGATCTAAGTTTGACAAAAATATGACCCAAATATTAGGATGTGCAAAGTTAGATCAAAATTGGACTATCCTTTCTCTTTTTGTGCAAAAAATATATTTTTTGAAAATTTCGATTTTTTGTGGGAGATGTACCAGAAGGAGTAAACCGATATTGTCCATCTCCGAACTCGATCTAAGTTTGACAAAAATATCACGATGTACCAAGTTTGTACCAAATCGGATACTCGTGCGTACCAACCAGACGGACAGACGGACGAACATCGCTAGATCGACTCCAAATGTTCTGAACCGGATTTGGTCCAAAGAGGGTCTAAAACCGTTATTTCGACTAGGCACGTTTTGACCGTATCAAATGATATAAACCCTCTGTAGCCATATGGCTGAGCGTATAATTAAAGAAAATGTAAAAATTATGGCGTTTGACATTGTTGCAGTTTTTTTATCTCACCCTGTAACTGCTAAACCAATGCTGGTTTAGCTTGTTATTAACAGATTACTAAATTTAAATTATTTTTAATTTAGATTTCCTTTAAACCCCAAATTATATTCCAAAGTTTCGTAATAAAAATATTCAATTTACCTTTAAAATTCTCTAGTCTTTAAAACTCTCCCCCACAACTTAAATACCTGTGGCACATGGAACAGATTTATTTCCCTTGTCTCTTTTTACTATTAAATAAATATTTCAGCAACAAAAAAAAAAAAACAACTGCATGCTCGTTTTTGTGCGTAATATAATACTCATTTGTTGTTGTTTTTCTTCTTTCTCCATTTATTTTTCATTTCAGGAAAAAATCAATCGGGAAATTTTAAATTCGAAAGTTTTTAATATGGATGTTGCCACAAATGGTGGTGGCAGTTCAAGTTTCAGTGCGAACGGTAACAGCAACAACAATAATAATAACAACAACAACGGTGGTGGTGGTAAACGCAAAAGGAAACGTAAAAATCAACGTGCTGTCAACGGTATGCTGGTCGATGTTGGCGAAGGTGGTCCATATGCCAATAGCAACAGCAACGGTCCAATTGGCACATCAGGTGGCAGTAATGGTGGCGGTGGTGGTGGTGGCGGTTCTTCTGGCAAATGGAAAAATTCGATTGCAGCCAAAGCAAGAAGTTTAATGAATTTGCACAATAATGAAGCCGGCAGGAGGGTAAGTTGTCACGAAACATGTAAATATTGAAAATAACTAAAACCAGGCAAAATGCAGCAGTGAAAGGAACGAAGGACAGGCAGGAGCGGTGAGAGCATTAGCAGTTGCTGCTGCTGCTGTAGAAATTTTTGTTGAAAAGTTGAATTGAAATTTGCTTGCCTTTACAAATGGCAATGTTGAAATGAAATGTTTTCCCTTTCCAGCATTTCCATGTTGTTTGGTCCATGCTGTGTGGGATATGGGTTTGAGCTCGTTTTGAGCGGCAAGGGGAAATGACCAAATATTTGTATCCAATGGATGGAAATTGAATGCAAATAAAGCCAATTTCGTAAATTGTAATCAAATTACTTTGGAATACAACAAACCAACAAATATGCTATTTAATAGAGTTGACTGTCTAACTGAATGAGTGAGCGAAGGAGTGAGTGACTGACAGGCTGGTTGGTTGGTTTGTTGTTTGACTGAATGATATGTTTGTTAAATAACATAAACATCAACAGCCAATGTTGCCAACACACATCGTAGCTGAAACGATTTTCTCGTTAAAGGGACATGTGTAGTTAGTTATTTGAGATATTTGGGAAAGAGGGTACACGAATTTGGAAAGACATTTTTTCAGGATTTCCCTATGGGACCTTGTAAGTAAATATTTTGTTTGAGATCAAAATTTAGTATCACAACACAATATATAACTCGTAGATGTTTTCAAATATTTAACCAGGTTTCCTTAAATTTTCAATTCTACCCTAAAGTCCTCTTGATCCCCTGCTTCTTCCCCATTGGGTTTGACGTGTAATATAGCTTCCAATTGATTGAAAATATCCTTGTTATTAATTAAACACTTATTTAAATTTGAATTCAATTGAATTTAACCTAACAGGATATCCTCTTAAATTTCATCACCCCAAAGTATCGGTTTAAATACTCTGGGGAATTTAAAGGATATCCTACCGATGTAAACGTATTAATACATTGACGGATATAAACCAATGGCATCCATTTTCCCGGACATCAAACACAAACACACCAACTCACCTATCGCTTCTTTTTTTGCACGTGTATATTTTTGTTGTTGTGAGTAACATTTCTGATTTGTGTAAGTGTGTGTGTGTATTTCATATTTTTCCTGTTGTTGAATGTTGTCATTGCATTATTATTGTAACCTAAGGCAAACTTTTCTTATTTCCTTTGGCTTGAAGCTATTCTCTGTGTGTAAATTGAAACAGATTAAATTGCCAAATAGCAATTTATACAAAAATAATAATAGTACACACACACATACACACACTAGGAAGCAAACATTCGCCTCCATACATACATTTATTTACAGGAAATGTGAATATAGGCAAACATATTTTATTTACAATCAGAGCACAACGCATTCATACAGTACATTTAAATATGTACAGTGGGGTGAACAAACATACACATATTTGTAGAATATACAGGGTGTACCGAAATTTTGAGATTTTCACAATAGTAATACAATTTGCAGGAAAGTATAAGAGAGAACTATTAGTGGTTTCCCGAAGAGTATTTTTGATGGAAATGCTTTAGATATTCGTGATATATTCCTCGATTTTTGGGGAATTATTAAAAAAGTTTTAAATCTGTGTTTGAGAAATTCCCATTACTTACACGATTATTAGAATATTTTTTCAATGACAATATTTCGGTTTAAAAAGTATGGAGTGATATACACAATTTCTCAAAATTTTGAGAAAAATCTAAAATCCAAATTAGATCTAGAAATATTGGTATGTGCTAATTTAGTTTCGCAAAGAAACCCTATATACTATTGGTGAATCTTATTCCGAATTTCAGAATTCTAGCTCTATTCGATTGCTCAATACAACGTAATCAATTTCAGCACCTTTTGGTACTTTCAGTACACTTATAGTTAAAAGACCTAAAAGCTCGATCTAAGTGAGACCGTTGACATATAAACCTTGGCATTGATGTCGCCTTTCATATGGAGTTTGCAGAACCAAAATAGGTTCACCTATACCAGATAACATCAATGACTAACACAATGCAATTTATTTTCATATGTACATATAGGAAATATTCTTTATAGACCCCTTAGATTATGTATTTTCTTGAGATGGATAACTTGCTAGGTCGCCAATCAATCTTATTTTGTGTAAAGGCTTAAAATTTAATATCTTGTTGTTGGTACTTTAAATCGGTTATATCGGTGCATTTCTGGCGCCTGTCGGTTTTAACCATACATACATTTGGAAATTGTCATTTTAAAATTGAATCTATGTGAAGACATAAACTCTCCCAGATCCCTTCCCATAGCTGTATATCCTTATTTTTATACCCTCCACCATAGTATGGAGTATATATTATGTTCGTCATTCCGTTTTAACTCTTCAAAATTAGAATTTTATTTTATATATATTATATATTCTTGACCAGCATAAGATTCTATTTCGAGTTAGCCAAGTCTCTCCATCTATGCAAAATCACTCTAGCTTTCGAAAGACATTAAGTAGTTTGATAAAATTTCTCTAATACGCATTATAAGTCCGTAGAAATTTTGGCATTAAAAATGGGACATGTAGGTCCACATTTTTAGATAGTAGTCATATAACTGCACTACCAGATTTAAGGTGTTTTTGGTCATATTTTTGAACAGAATTTTCTGCAAATTAGCAGTCTGTGTACTCTCATGTAAGAAACATTGAATATAGAGTTCGTAGTAGGCACCGCCCTCTATGGCAGATAATTGGCTGTGGAGGTCCACGTTTTGTATAGCCCCGTACCACCTGATATTCGAAATTTTTAAAACTTTAGCGCATTTTTCAAAGGAACTTTTAAGGTCGTCTCGAAAGAGAAATAAACATAGGCATTATTTAACATTCTGCAAATTCCTCCCAAATGGTGAAAGGTATTAAAGGTTCGACCACACCGAACTTACTTTTTTACTTATATATATTTTTTTTTGGAATGAGAATACCCTTACTGAATATTTTTAGTAGCCGTCTGCTGATTTAAGATGTCCTAAAAGCTTTGACTAATTTTCCCCAGCCCAAGTGCCTGCAATTTGACATTCTGAAAATCTAATAAACATTTAAGAAGAACCAGGATTTTTAGGTTTTGGATTTTACAACGTAGTTACAAGTTACTGTAACTTTTACGACCGTCTTATGAATTCGCCCAGTTTTCAAGCAGATTTAGATATCATTTGATATATGGAGTTCTCATTCAGTTGGTCAATTCTGAGATCAGTTTACGTTTTCGTATTGCTTTTTTGACAGTATCGCCAGATACTATATAACAGTACAGCCCGACTTTTTTTATTTTTCCCACATTTATTTATAATTTTCTATTTAAACTTTTTTATTGTTCGACACAGTTCCATGTTGTAACATAGTCTTTATAGTACCGCACCACGCAAAATTTAGAATTTTGGGGGCTTTTGCAAAATTTTGCAATTGCACAAAACAAAAATTTGCAAAATTGCTCTGAATTTTGGTTATGTTTTCGAATATATTTATTTCCTAATGATGAAATGTACCAAAAGTTCGGCCCGCAGAAATTATTGTCATTTTGCCACACCCTGTATTATGTAAATCTGATATTGAATCATATGGCAAATATTTACATATTCAATATTTTAGTTTTTGTTTGTTACAATATTCGTAATATTATTTCCATTTCACTTTACCAAAAATAAAAAAAAACTCTCTCTCCTCTACGATTTACCATTACTTTGTCCATTGTCCATATATTTGTCGGTATGTGTGAATGTTTGTCGTTCTCCTACTGTTTGCTTTCTGTTGCTGCTTTTTATTTTGTTGCTGTGTTGAATTTTATTGTATTTCTTCTCCAGTGTTATTGAATTATAGAAAATTATTCAACAGGTGGATGAATGGTTTTTTACTTTGTGTGCCTTTTTGTGGGTTTTGGGTGTTCTTGGTAAAGGAAAGTAGGAAAGTAGGTTGGTGGGTTGGTGGGGTGGTGGTGTTGGGCGTTTGTCTTGCCACAAAACAATTTTCCTAATGTTTTCTTTTGAATGTCGATTTATTTATTTTTTCTTTTCTTTTCGTTTTGTTCATTTCTAAATCCAATTTTTGTATGTCTGTAAATACCTTTATTTGTGGCGAGCTTCTTTTTTGTGTGGGTGGGCAAACAAAGAATGTCCTTTATATTTCTATATTGAATAGAATTGTTTAAGAGTTATTCTCATGTAAATACTCTTATATTATTGCAATTGGCTATAAACAGTAATCTTTGATTGTATAACAATTCCTTTTTACCTTTGCGAAAAATTTTATTCAATGGCAATGATAGTTATTTGAAAATTGAAAGGATAAATGAAAAGTAAATAAATTTTGCTAGCATGAATGCATGCATGGTTTTGAGAGAGATTGTGTATGTGTGTGCGTGTAGGATTGTTCTTTGATTGTTACATAAAGTGAAAATGTGGTTATTTACAGTAAAAGAAACATAGGTGTAGAAAATAATCGATATCTAAAGATATGCTAAAGAAAATCGGAAACATTCCATTGGGCTGAATTTTGAATTTTCGGCATCAAACGCCATAATTTTTACATATTTTTTTTTATAATTTTATTGAATAAAAGCAAAAAATATCAAAAATAGCATAACATTTTAGAATGAGTTAAGATTTGTTCGAATTGGTCACCTTTGGCACGAGTTGTGGCCTCCAAACGGCCAATAAAACCGACACACGCAGCCCGAATGTTGCTCTGCGCTATTTTGTCCTCTGCGACAGTTTGGTATTTTTAGTGCCAACTTTGCTTTCAAAAATACTCCAGACACAATAGTCCAACGGATTGGTATCCGGAGATTTTGGTGACCATTGTGCGCTGGAAATGAAGCGAGGAGCCTCATTTTGTAACCATTCTTGGGTGGGGCGTGCTGAGTGCAATAGTGCTAAGTCCTGTTGGAATGTCCAAGGTATGCCGCCAAAATGTTTGCGTTCCCAAGGCTTTAATTCACCCTCCAGAATAATTTCGGGATAATAT